GTTTGTTGTTTTGTTTTGTTGTTGTTGTTTTATTATCTATATAGCTTACTAATCTGTTTATTTTACTTTGTTTATTTATTTATTCCCTTTTTGTGTTAGTTTGAGAGTGATCTGCGCAATAGGGTGTAAGCAAATTCCCCAAAAGTATGGAGAAAAGTTTTTAACATTTTTGCAAAAAAAGGAAAAAATTAAAATTCTCCAAGAATTTGTATTTCTAAGTTTGTGTTGAGCCGAGTTGTTCTAAGAAACTTTGGTTGGTTTTCTTGCCCGAACTTTTTCTTTAAGGCTGTTTTGGGTGTTTGCTTAGTACCAAGGCGTTATAAGTCTAGATTTTCTTTAGCTTCAGTTTTGGGCACAGTGATCATTGGGAAGAGTTTCCTGAATGATGAAAAAAATTCTATATCTATACCATATACTCATTGATTTTCTAGTACCAGCAATTTTACTATAGATTTCTTTATTTTTAATCAATAAAATCATAAAAAAATTCACTATAAACAGCTAATAAAAAAAATAACAATAATGTACCTTATGATCCGTCTTATTAACCTACCCTTATTTCTTCTTATAAAAGTGTAAATATATACTTACTATATTAAAAAGCAATTATAATATTACAAAGCAAAAAAATAAATAAATAATAAATAGAGAAAAAACTATATATATATTAATTCATATACCATATTTCCAATCTAATTTTTTAAATTTTTTTTTCAAAATTGACTATTTTAAATAAATAGACAATTCAAAAATAAACCATTATTAATGCTCAATTATGAAATTCAAAGTTTTTCACTTCATAACTTTCAATTTGAAGTATCTGAGAATTCAGCCACTATTCATTTGATTTGTACATATTCAGAAATAAAATAAATCTAAACTTATCAAATGCTCCTGTTTCAGATAAAAATGGATTTATATCTATAAACTCTTTACTGCCCCTAACCTTAGTATTTTTTCTCAACAGTCTAATCTCCAACGTCTTCTTATTGAATTTCAAACAAAAATCTTACTTGATTATCTGCAAATTCCTTGTGCTTACTGTTCAATACTTATGATAAAATTTTCTATCAACTGGATTCCTAACAATATTGATCAAACTTATCTGTTAACTATCACTTTTGATATTCCCATATATACTAGAATAAATAAGCAAAATAACAAACAAGTTGCTGTTTACAAATCATGCAAAAATCAAAATACATGTTGGTATTCTCCAATACTAACACCTACTCCTTCTGAAATTGAGGATGTTTTAATGTTACATAGAAGATACCTTTCACCCATTTACCTGAACTGCTCATTAGACCGTGCTACTAGTACGAACCTATATACAAATTACTGGCATCTACAAGAAACAATAGAAATTACTCACAACTATCAAACTTTACAAATATACTCTGGATCAATTGGTACCTATCTAAATGCCAATAAGCCTCTGACTTGGTTTTATCTCTTTCAGTTCTGCTTTCGACTGGCTTAAAAGAAACAATAATCTTATTAGAGAATATTAATCAAACTTAATTACTATATACCCAGCACCAGAAAATCCTATTCCAACTCTATTACCCTTAGTGAGGCAATCAATAACCAACTATATGACTTCTTTTAACACACACTGAAGTATTCTTCCTGATGAAAGACCTCATCTACCAGATTTGGTCATTCCCAATACCTCTTTTTCACATGAAGTTCATGATCAAAATTCCTATTATGGTTGACTAGTAGCTAGAACTATAACAAATAATATTAGTACAACCTCTTCAATAACCCTGATTTAGAGGCCTTAATCTTCCCTGATCTATTTTCCAGAAATCATAGTCATTATGAAGATATAAAAAAAACACTTAAATTTTTAACCATCTATTGATTCTTATCAAACTTAGATTATTATGCCCTGATCCCTGTTTTCACTTGTATTGGTATTGGCCACATTGATCATACCTAAATTTGGAAAAAAAAAAATTTTCAAAATCGAAATCATCTATTAGCTACATGAAATGTCAATTGTGAACATCATCTTACAAGAGCAGATCTAATTGCCTCAAGTTCGTATAATAATCAACCTATCCTTGATAAATCAATAACTACAACAATTCCTTCCCATCTCAGAACTGCTACACCCTTTTTTAAAAAGAAACAGCAACAAGTCAATACGATGACACATGCTTATTGCCTACCACAGATATTCTACACAATGACAATAGCCAAAGACAAGTGACTCTATTTAAGAAATATTTTACTTTCAACTGACAATTATGATCTCTTACCAACTAATTGCCTTTACTTGTCTATCTTTTTTATCATAACTACTTGAATAATATTTGTAATAAGTTATAGAAAAACCCTAATCTTGTAGGCTGAGAAAAATGGAAACACTTCTTTGAACATGATGAATTTCAAAATAGAGGAACAATTCATATACATGGATTCACCTATACAGGAAAAAAAAACTCTTGAATTAATTTCACTTAATAATATTTGTGCTGATATTTCTGATCCTCATACAGACCCTGAATTGTATTCTTTAGTCAACTTTTCAAATATACTATTGTGATCATAGATGCAAACCATTAGGTTAGTGTTTAATTTTAAGAATTAATTAATTATTTAGTTATTCAAATTGATAATTTTTTAAATAACTAGACAATTAATCAACTATTAATCAATTATCTGTTAGTTGATTGATTAACTAATTGATTAGTTGAGGACCCCGGATAATACTAATAGAAGTGAAATTATTAAACTGGACAAGAATTTTCAAAATTTTTACAGAAGTTATATTATTAAAAAGGCTTTTTAAATAAATCTAGTATTATAAAACTGGAATTAATAAAAAAAGGTTATATACCCAAGGTGGACATAATTTTATTAAAAATAAATATCTAATATTTTAAAAAAAATCCATATACTAAATCTTTACAAGATAATAATCGGGGTATCATTTCAAATTTTGGCCTGCATTAATCTTAATGCAGGCCGTTATTCCAGTTTGAATTTGATTGGCTAGATCATTTGTAATAAATATTCAAATTTCGTTTATAAGTTCTGAAGTTTCAAGATTTTCCTAGTAGTTCGCTTTGCCGTGTTGTCAGAAGCTTCGCCGTGTTCAGATATTTCGGGTAGCTGAAAGTCTCGCCGTGGTCAGAAGCTTCGCTATAGCCAAGAAAGAGCTTGCTGTGAACAAACTTCTAAGTGGTTAAAGGTTTCTCTGTACACTGTGGTTAAAAGGTTTCTCTGTGCACTATAGAAAAAACTTCGCCGTAGTTAACATTACGCGTGGTTAAAGGTTTAGTAGTGGTTAAGAATTTTCGCATGATTAAAAGCTTTGTCTTGGCCAGAAGCATCCTATAGTCAAAAACTTTGCCAGAGCCAAAAGTTATTTTCTTGAATTCAGGAGTTTCGCCGTGGTCAGAAGCTTCGTTATAGTAAAAAAAAAAAGAAAAAAAAAAGGAAGAAAGAAAAAAAAAAAAGAAAAAAAAGAAAAGAAAAAAAAAAGAAAGAAAAAAAAAAAAAAAATTTTTTTTTACTCTCCTGTGGTTAAATAAACATTTTGTTGTGGTTAAATTTTCTTGATGGATATAAATTCATTGATTATTTCAACTGAGCTCTCACAGTCTGATCATGAACAATCAGATATCGAAGACTGTTATGAAACATCTGATGACTATGAAATGACGGATGATGAGCGTTCAAGTAATAGATTAGTTGTTTCTGAAGAACATGCATTAAAGAAAAAACGAAACCGTGGGATGAATTCAAAGACTATTTTAGAAAAGGTAAGAATAGCAATATATATATTATTTGCATTAATATCTCTATCTAATTAGTTTTGTATTTTTAGCAAACAGAGTTGGCTAATCATCCGGATGTACTCGAAATTTTGGGTCCATTATGCGTACGATACAAACATTGCAGAAAATCGATTAAACTAAAAAGAAACTTTGATAAATCACGAATTGAATCCCATGTATCCAATAGCAAATGTATTAAAAACAAGGGATTTCAAGATTTGAGAGTGTTCTTTCAAGCTTCTAATTCTTAAGACAAGCTATTATATAAAAGATACCCATGTTCCGGCTTATGTAAAGAAAAACATCTCAAATATATTGAATGAGTTGGTGGTTTTATAACATTTGGTGGTGCTCCACCTGCCAAACAAGTGGCCCAAGAACTTTTTCCGCAGAAGTTTACAAATGAGACAAAATTTTCTTATTCTAAACTTACTTCTAATCAATTCAAAAGACTTAATGATGAACTATCAGCAAGGTCTAAATGGAAAATAGATCAGGAATGTTTATGTATTCATAGTTCAGTATGTGAAGTCTATACTGATCAAATTGGACGAATATGTGTGAAATATATTTTACTTACAAAAGATCAAGTTTTCAAGGTAAAATTTCTATCATTCGGATTTTCCTTTCTATATTACTGTATTTTTAATAATTTTTATTTTATTTTTGTTTTAGAATGCGCTTTTTAAACCTATACCAAAACCGGGAAATCGACATTACACACCAAAAATATATTTCAAAAATAATCCACTTTTAAAATTTCTTAAAAAAAATCAGATCTACGCTAACTCTCTCCGGTACACATCAAGTGAGGAGAGAGCAATTTCTAGCTAGCAAAATATCCACTTTAGCG